CATCCTACACGAACTCTAGCCGCAACTGCGCTCAAACATCCTCCATCCGCGTTCAGCTTATCCCCTAAGTAAACAAAGCTTTCCACTCTTTCAATACCACCACTCAACCCCGTCCTTGCGTCCGTCCTATTAATCACACCATGAACACATTTCTTACATTTGAACGTGCCTTCCACCTTTTTCAGTGCCCCCCTCACACCACTACATCTCTTATGCACCCATTTCTGACATCCTATACACAATACCGAGTTAGTCTTCACTCTCCTGTCACATACCCCACAGGGGTCTATTTTACTTATCACTCGCTCCCCACCTTCCCCACTCACCATTACCTTCGTCTTACCAATATTAACTTTTAACTCTTTCTTTTCAATAACACTTTTCCATCTGTCAAATTTTAACTGCAATTCTTCCATGCTATCAGCCATCAAGACTAAATCATCTGCATACAAAATCTCAAATAACAACCCCTCCATTATGTTTCCACACACAACATCCATCACAATTGCAAACAGAAACGGTGATAACACTGATCCTTGATGCACTCCTACCTTAACACTAAAAGCGTAGCCGAATCAAACGAATAAATATAGATAAAATTGAAGTGTATGAACAAAATAGCATTTAAACATAATAACAATAGTAGTAATTATTATTATTATTACAAATAATTATTATTATAATTATAATACCATAATTAATAAAATGTGCAATCTATGGAAAATTCATAGAATAAAAACATACTTAAGGAGTTTTCATTTACATTTATTTTAAAATCATCAAATCACGATCAATATAATTATAACTTATCGTGCTTTCTAAATAATACACTTATTATTTCATTATTCATTTATTCAATAAACGTTAATTAATTTCATTTTCATTTGTTATTATTAATAATTAAATAAATTAACTATAACTGCTTGAAAGAAATGCAATAAAATGATTATGCAAACGTTGATTGAAGGGGTAAATAAATTAAACATCCATCCTGCTGATTTTTAAAAATAATAAGAAAAAAATGATCGTAATAACAAATAATAAATACAATAATCGTCTCAAACAATGAGAAAACAAAAATTAACTCAACCAGAAATGAAAAAAAAGAAGAAAACTCAATATATATTAAACCATGACAAGATAATTATTGATTAGATCACTCTGTAATACATTAATAAACAATGCAACGGTGGCGAACCCGGGGTGTGGCGAGAATGTAACCAACCCACCCCTAAGAAGATTCCGTGTATAACATAGTAAACGGAGACTGAAATTAGCGACAAAAGGTCAGTCATCAACTTGAGAATTTTAAAAATCACCCCCCTCCCCAAAATGGGAATACACGGAATTGAACGGGAGTTACGGGTATCAGCTTTAGAATTTTAAAATCATTCCATATACCTCAAATTTCTAGATCCGCTGCTGCATTACATTAAGAATTATTACATTACATTAAGTAGCATTGCATTAAGTAACATTACATTAAGTAACGTTACATTAAGTAATATTACCATAAGTAACTTTACATTAAGTAACGTTACCATAAGTAACATTACATTAAGTAACATTACATTAAGTAACATTACATTAAGTAACATTACATTAAGTAACATTACATTAAGTAAAATTACCACAAGTAACATTACATTAAGAAACATAATATATGACTAAATCACATTTCAATACATACGATCTCTTACTCTGGTTCACACACGAAATATATATACATATATATATATATATATATATATATATATATACATATATATATACATGTTAATGTTTTTATTTAAATACGAATATAATTGAATTAATTATTTATTAACTAATTTGGAAAAATTATCTGAAACGTCATTTAAATGAGTGATTGATGGAGATAAAAATTGAATGAAAAGAAATATTAAAAACACAAACATTTTTGATTTAAAATAAGTAAAAAGAACACTGTTTTGTGTCACTGTACACACACACACGCACACACACAAATACACACGCACGCACACACACGCACACATGCAGATACACACACATATTATTACACAATAAAATATAATTAGATTAATATTTCACTTGACAACAAATGAGTTGAAACAAATATAATTAAGATCAATTAAGATTAATTAATTAATTACACCTACAAGATAGTGATAAGTAATATCCAGTATATAATGTTAACATCTGTCAATCATCTACTAAGTTTCACTTTTAAACTAACACATCCACATCCCCAATTTTTTTCACCATCATTCATCATCATCATCTTCTTACATCACCATCTTTATACTGTCTTCCCCGTCAAAAGTTTCTTTCACCATCAACATTCCCATTGTCATTTTGATCATCTTCATCACCACCCTCATGTGATCTTCTTAACCAACATTGTTATCGCTACCACCATCATTTTTTTTATCATAAGCGACTTTATCTTAATCAATAACTCAGCGTCGAATCATCCCATTCCAGTTCGCTTTTCTTCATTTTACTTTCCATCACTCCGTCACCATCTTCGTCATCTTCGTGATCATCACTGACGACCTCCTCCTCCTCATCTTCCTCCTCTACGTCAGTTTCGTCATCATCATTATGACGTAGGTGATGGAGACGACGACGACGATGATGCTGTACGTTGTTGTTGTCGTAATCATCATCCTCCAGATGGTTGTTCTGATTGGTCAGGACGCTGACCAATGAAATCTCGTCATCGTACAAACCCTAACAAACAACATACAAACATACATAACATACAAACAGTTAAACGCATTTTCAATGTATAATGTATTATCATAAGGCCTACAAAACGAGCATGCAACTCACATCAATGTTATTCTGCCCTATTAGGCAAGCGATCAACAACAACAGCATAAGTCTCAGACGTAGGTAAGTTAGTTTGTATTAAAATATCTACTAACGCCCAACCAACCAACCAACACACAAATCCATCATCTCTATGCAACAACAACATCATGCTATCAAGCAACAACAGCAGCAGCAGCAACAACAACAACAGCAGCAACAACAACACACATATATACCTAACGCCGTACTAATCTCAACAACACCAACCTCTTGATCCATCGGGTTAACAGTGATGGTCAGCGCCGAGTTATCCCATTCCATTTCCTGTTTATCCTCCAGTCCAGAGACGTTGCTGTGACGCTGAGCGTTCCGTATGCGAGAGATGCCGACAGTAGCCAGGAGGACGATGAATCCGATGCAGATGATGCAGACAATCACCACTCCCGCCGCTGGCAACGTTCCAGTTTAACGGGAGTAGAGGGATTTATTTGAGGATATAAAAAAAAGAAAGGCTAAGTTTAGATTGGAACTTCGAGAATGATTATTAGGAATAAAAGTATTGAGTAATGCAATTAAGGGTTAAGATTGAGACTGCTCACCTTTGGTCACGAACTTAAAATATATTCAACTTTATTATAACTTAACGCGAAAAAGCTGACTAAATAAATGAACAGGCAAATTTATAAAAATTAAATTGAAACTTTGCAAAATTAAGAAATAATTCTTAACGACTCAAATGTGTTGAAGTGGATAACATTGTGATGATGATGATGAATGCGATACTGACCGGAACCAGCTGATTGGCCAGTAGTAACAGCCTTCAAACGAGCACCTTGACCTTGTTTATCGACCGATGGCTGCACGTTCCCGGCGGGTTGAACTAACTTGTCACTTAGTGAGGACTGTGGTTCAGGTTGCTTGGAGTCCAATTCGTGAATCACTGACATCTAGGAGGAGATTAATAAATTCTATTATTTCATACATAATCATAAATTATTAAGTTATTTTTATAAAAATTAAATTAAAAGAAAGTAAAAATTAATAAAATAAAATTAAGAAATAAATGTTCATTAAACCCACCACGACTTCGAGAACATTACTAGAATATCGTCCGTTGAGTTCCGAGCAGCTGACCTTGAACTTGCGCTGGTTCAAGTTTAGTGGGTTCGCGTGGGCGTACAACGTTCCACTTAACACACGCTCGTAATTTTCCAATTTGTCAACTCCTGTATGATGTTAATACAATGAACTAAATGCAAATAAAAATATCGAATTGAAAAATCTTGTTTTAAATAAAATTCGTATATTGACACGCCATTCACTAACCGCTAATAACTACTCCATTCCCAGTGACCTTGACATTGAGACCCAGCTGTTTGACGAGGTCGAGTGGCGGTTTGATCTGCTCGAGTTGGGAGGAGAGAGGATCTGGCATGTGGATTGAACAGGAGTCCAGGTTGTACTTGTCCATGAATTCCGGCTTCTAAGTCGTGTCCGGTAAATATTATAATTTATGATAATTAATACTGCTATACTTACGATGGCTTACGTAACCCACCCCGCAACTGTTCACAAGCAAATAGCTGCAATAATACGAACGTTAACAATTACTGCTCGACCAACAGATACAAAAGGGCCATCAAGCAGTAATCAAAACGATTTAAAAAAAATAATGAAAAAATGTGAAAGAAACCAAAACATTATTATATTTCATCTATTATAAAACATTAACCTTGCCATCAGCGCTGTAGAAAACTTCATCAGCCTGGTTCTTCGAATGTGCAAAAATCTGGAAATCCTTGAGGAAGCCAACACCTTTCGAGATCTCCTCCGCCTCTTCTTGGATGTTCAGAACGGCGTTCAACGTTATCACTGGCTTCTCGACGCGACTGACGATCAACAACGACTTCAGTGGCGCAACCTCCAAGTGGCGACCGTTCGAGCAGCTGGTTTGTTTAAATAAAGTAATTTTTGGGAGAAAAATCTAAAATTCAAAACTAAAGTAAAAATGCCGTCCACAAGTAATTTCTTTTCAAAATCAGCCGTTTGAGATGATGAATATGAATAAAAGAAAGTGGTGAAATGTCAAAAAGTAAAAATAAAGGTAAAAACAAATGAAAAATTAGGCTGCGCCATTTAAAACCAGCTGCACTAACGTAAGTTCAGTATCAAAGGTGACAGGTCGGTGTCCAGGAGTGGGGAAGTTCCTAGTGTTCACGTAGCTGATCTTCCTTAAGAGAGTCTCAACATTTTTAAGGGAGGGTCCGTTGATGGTTATCGAGGTCATGTCACTGTTCATTGAGACCGCCTGCTTGGGTCAGATTGGTTGTTAAGTCAGCGAAGTTGGTTGCTGCTAATTGTTTAACGGTTGTTTTACAATTCTCTACACACACTAAAACAAGTCATTGTACAGAAGCAATTGTTTGTTTATTTGTTTGTTATCAAGTGTCGGTAGTTGTTAGTGGTTGTTGGTTGTTTGTTGTTGATTGTTGGATAGTTTAGAAAAGTTAAAATGAGTGTTTTTTATATGCGTGTGTGACAAAAAACAGGTTTTTAATAAGTTTTAACGCTGCTTTTAAACTTGTAAATAAAATGAATTAATTGAAAATTTAATCAGAAATGTTAATCTCGATTTTGAAAACTCTTAAATATATTAAATAAACAACATTTAAAAATTTAAATTTTGATGATAAGAAAGACCATGCCAGAGTCCATATCTTCAACAGCATTGAAATCCAACTTCTCCTGGCACCTGGTGAGACACTGGATGGCACTGTTTGACTCCACACGGTTGTTCAGGAGAGAGAGTCCCGCCAAATATCCTTTGAAGTGGTTGCTTACGTGCTGCATGCCGCCTGCGTGGTTCAGTGTTTATAACTCAACAATCTATCAAAGAGTTACACGTTTCATGGATTCAATCGTCAGGCTGTCATTCAGATCGTAGTCAATTATTAAGTTAAGATAGCGTTATTTCTAATCTTTCAATGAAACATTTCAACACTTGGCAGACTTATATAATGTATTTTTGAATAAATAATCATACACATACAAAGGCAGGTACATAAGATATTCAATATTCTCCACACAAATTAAAAACAAGTTACTGTGCAAAAGCAATTGAAACCGGTATTCATATCCGAGTCAACATGTTGAACAAAATAAAATTTATATTCTCAAATTTCCAGGTAGGTCACACTCGGTTAACACGTCGCATACTAGCAGGTACTGACCCATCCAGCATCCTCCGATAGCAACCTTCGTCGAATGCACCTTCTTGGTCAGATGCATCGGAAAGTCGTTAACCACGTTGAAATTCTTCTTATTCTCAATGAACGCCTTCCCGTCAACAAACAATTTGGCCCTCGGCAACGGAGCCTGCAAAATTTTTATCCCGATAGCATCATCATCGCCGCCATCATCAACAGGTTTGTTGGCATCTTTCGTAGCGTTGAGACTTTCGCTAGAACTTTCTCTCTTAGATTTTTCGACGACTCTTTCGTCATTATCATCGGTGACGACGACGGTGTAGTGGTGCCAGCTGCCATCGCAGATCTCTGGCAGAGACCACCTCCATTCAGCCGGAGCAAATCCATCTTGCTCCAGGCCAGAGTCAGGCTCTTGACGCAGCAGCAGTACCAGGTGACAACGACGTACGAATAAGGACATGTGCTGGCGATTCATTTCTGTTGTTTTTGGTTGGTTGTGCTGATAATGTTGTTGTTGATGATGTTGCTGATGTTGTTGTTGATGATATTGTTGATGTTGTTGTTGATGATATTGTTGATGTTGTTGTTGTTGATGATGATGTTTAATGACGGTGGTGATGATGTTGATGATGATGGTGTGATGTTAACGATGATTAGAGTAAATTTAATGATAAAGTAAATGTTTCAATACTGTGGTACTGTCCTAATGGTAAGACAAAAAACTTAATGATATTCTGCAAAGACAATTAAGGTGTCGATTGGATGTATTTATCACGCTAATTAATCACGCTAATTAATCACGCTAATAATTAATCACGCTAACATGAGCAATAGCAGAATTAAAAAGTTAAACAAGCACCACCAACATTAGTAACACCCAAATCACCCTCACCACTATCGTCATTATCATCATCACCATCATCATTTCATCACCAATGCCATCATCATCATCCTCACAATCAATCATAATCATCATCGTCATCACCATTTGACCATGACCTTCATTATCAGATATGCAGAGAATATTCTCTTTACGATGTATACTCTCGCTATCACCCTCGTCTTCATCGTCGTCGTCGTGTTTCATCCAAGTCGATATGCTGAACTCTCTGCCTAGTTTAATCTGGATGAAGATGAGTCATTCGTCAGATCAATGCATAACAGCAAATCGGTGGAAACTTGTCATCAATCTAATAGCGACTTTTAATAATAATAATGATGATGATGACTATTCATCATCTCTATTCACATTCATCATTCATTTCCATCATATCCATTCACACTCTCTATCTGTCAACCAACCAATCGACCAGCCAACCCAACAAACAAAATTAGTCAATCAATCAATCAATCAATCGACCAACTAACCAACCGATCAATCAACAAAATTACTCAATCGACCAACTAACCAACCAATCAGTCAACAAAATTACTCAATCAATCAAGCCAATCAACTAACAAACAAATTTAAACATTCAAGGGACAAAATTAACCGGCCCCAACTATCCAATCACACCAGACGCAACATCAAAAACGGAATCAAAGGCGCTATTAAAGAGATCCCTGCATATGCATACCACAACCTACATACGCATACGACACGTTCATTTACTTGTATTCACACACACACACACACACACACACACACACACACACACACACACACACACACACACAAAGTGCAGCCGTTGTTGTCTAAACAATTGAAATTGAGTAATCCTAAGAAAGAGAATATATAAAAAAACCTGCAAGGGAACGATGACGGAGTCATGTTTTCCATCAAACGCGAACACCTCATCGCTTTCCTTTCCATCGTCCGTTGGCAAATTGCGGGTCCAGGAGTCAGGGGCCAAAGGTGAAGGTAACAGGTCAACTGCCTCTGGATTAGCTCCTGCCACGTGTATATATATTTTTTTTACCCAAAACCAAAAGTAGCTAATTTTGTGTGCAGATACGCACATGAATGTCTCTGTGTCAGTTTGTGTCAAAGTATGAATGAATGGATTGATGAATGGATAGATGGATTGATAGATGGATAGATTGATGGACGGAGAAATAGAATAATAGATGAATGGATAGATGAATGGATGTGAGAATGTGGATAAAAAATATGGATGAAGAGTTGAACAGAAAAGGTGATAAATTAAAAGATGGATAAATGGACAAATAAATAAAAACATATAAACGAACAACAGCAAGCATAACAAATATAAACACATATATGCCCATACAAACAAACAAATAAAAGATACAAAGAAGCAAAGAACAAACAAAACAAAACAATACTAACTAGATACAAACAAAGGTACAAACAAGCAAATCAAAACAATACAAACCACATAATTTCCTCTGGGAGTGAAGTGAATACGTATCTCGGTCACATCCCTTGCCAATGTGTTCTGTAAAAATCAGTGACAGAAATATTTAAATTATATTTCTATATATAATATAATATAATATAATATAATTTTATATTATTATATTTATTTATAATATATTATTTTATATAACTTTTGGCATGATGTTCAAACAGTATTACCAGTATAATTGTTTACAATATTTAATATTATTATGACGTTAATAATAATTATTATTATTGTCATCATCTTACTCATCATCATCATCCTCATCATCATCATTGCTATCTTATGCTCCTTCAGTATAATATAAATACATTATATAAAACCTGCACTTGCACAGCGTAATGTTGCATCTGACTAAACCAATTAACTTACATTTCTCGATTTAAAAGCATGCACGTAAGTTAATATAGAAGCATGAAAATGAAAACAAAGACACAATATAACACAGTGAGACACAACACAACTGCAGCAGAACAAAGGCAAAACAGAGCAGGTATAGAATGTACTTCGAGATCAAAGGAGGGTGCCCCTAATGCGGAAATGTCCAAAAAATAATACTAATGAACATTACGACTGGCTTTGTGTGAAGATGCATATGTGTATTTATTTATACACTAATGCATTCTATAAATAAACATGCACATACCCACACGCATGCACACTCACACACACACACATACATACTTACATACACGCACACACACTAAATAAGTACTTAGAAGAACTAGATGTTAGCACATTCCCGCAAATTTATATACAAGCACTGGGCAGAAATAAACAAAAGCAATCATTCATTTACGCACACAGAACTAGAAATAACAACATGCATACGCAAACAAACATCAAACGCAAAGTCAGAAATGCATTGAAACGCGCTACATTCAATACAAAATATGCAAAACTATAAGTACCTATATGATAGTATAACTTACCTGTGTATGTGTAATGTGTATGCTACGTACATTAATGTGCTGGAGATCCACAATTCATAAATTCTTCCACACACACACACATTTACAAATGCGCAAACACACAAAAACCTACGCGTACAAACACACAACACACACACACAGACACGTACAAATACTTACAGACACACACATACAAACACACACACACGTACAACACCTGTGTTGAGTTTGATGGAGACAGTAGCCTTGGTGACGTTGCATTTGTCGTCACATGTGTCAAGTTCGGCTTCAGGGGCAATCAAGATCTTCCCATCGTGTGGAGAGAAATCCATGCGTTCTCTAATACCTGGAGGCATTCACAATTTGACGTCATCGCCATATATCATTATCACCATATATCATCATCGCCATATACCATTATCACCTATACTTATCACATCGTTCATAATCTTTTTTTATTTTCATTTATTTATTTTGTTTTCTCAAAAAAGAGGGGTAAACTAAAAAGCAACCAAATGCTTGTAGGAAAGTCACCCTATCCAAATGAAATCAACATCAAGATCTTTCCATCATTAATCAACATCACCATCCTCATCATCGTCGTCATTAATCACACTCATCTTTGTCATCACTATCATTCTTATCATCATTCTTGTCAAAGTTCTCATAAAGGAAATAATTCTCATAGCTGAAAATTTTAATAATTAATCTTCATAACATATATGAGTTCTCATATATCTTTATGATATAGATTTATGAGTTATGAACTTTATGACATATATGAGTCAAAGTTGTATTAAAGGAAATAATTCTCATAGCTGAAAATTTTAATAATTAATCTTCATAACATGATATGAGTTTTGCAATGATATGACCTGATAAGAAATTCTCAATTATGAACCAAAATTAACTTTCGACAAGAACTGTTTTGATTAGAGACAACCTTGAAAGAATTATCAACCGAAATGCCAACCAAACAGTAATTAATTATATCATTTACTTTACTTTTATTTTTTTTATTATTATTTATTTTATTCTAACTTATTTCATTTTTCTTGTTTTAACATTTTTCTTCCTCACTTTTTGTATTTATTTTCTCACTTATTAGTTTAATTTTGTACTACTGCCTTGCATGTTGTTACAGTTTCTGCGTCTGTCAGATCCTGATTATTAAAGAATAATGAAAAAAAATCATATGAATGATATTATCATCCAAATATAAATCTATCCTACTGACAAACGAACACGCAAGCAACAGATACAGTAAAACACAAGCAGATACAAAATGTGGGCTCACAGATACGCGCGCACATACACATACTGCCACTCACAAAAATATAAACGCAAACACACACACACATACATACACGCACGCACACACGCAAACGTAAGCAAACAAACTTAAATGAAAACTGAAAAAAACCAGTTAAAATTATTAAACAAAAATCAACCGACCAATCCACTCGGCCTGACAAGCTGGTTTGACCTTGACAATAACCTTGACCTCGTCAGACGGAAGGTCATGGGGGTCACATGACTTGGCCACCACGGAAAACTGCCACACCTCTTGTTTTGCTGGGTCCAGTGGTTCTGTGTTCTTGACGACGCCTAAATGAAGAACAAGGATGTACTGTACACAATGTTGCATGAAGCGGTGATAACAAATGCATATCCGGCAGCGCTTCGATTACTTACTTAATTAATTAATTAAATAAGTAATTAAATGATTAATTATTTATTTATTTGTTATCAACATTGGTCGATGGTCATATCGATAAATGAATGATAACACATTATCAGAGTGACAATTTTAAGAAACCTCTTAGAAGTTAATTGAAAATTATTGCCATGATTGTATATTAATTATATAATTAAAAACTACTAGAGCAATTAATCAAAAAAAATTTGAATTAAGAATAAAATATGAGTGAACGATGATGATGCAACAAGTTATCGTCCTATCCGACCTTTTTCATCGACTTCGAATGGAACGCCCTTGGTTAGAATTTCAAAACTGCAAACTTTACCGTCTATGTTCAATGAATCTCGGCTGATGACGTCATTGTTATTATCATTGACCTTATTATTATCATTAACAACACTGGCGCTACCGTTATTTTTGACGTCAACCTCCTTTTTACCACTAATGTTATTCACGTGGCCATCATTGCCGTTGTTGTTGTTGTTGCTGACCTTCAAGTGACCTGCTTTCTCGTTAATGAGGTCAATTTTGATCAGCTGATCGTAGAAATCCCCCTCCAGTGCGTCAACAGAATATGAGGTTTGTGTCGTTCGCGGTTTCCATTTCTTGGACTGGAGCACTTGAACTTTGACCCATGATCTGATTGGTTGATTGGTTAAATGATTTATTTGACTGGTTGAGAGGCTTATTGATTATCTTGTACTTTTGCTCTTATCTATGCAGTTTTTTTTTACTAAATTAATATTACAAAAAAATTATGAGCGAAAACGACAGAGAGCGAATTATTGAAAGAAGTAAGAATTTTTTGTAAAAAAATGAACGAACGAACGAACGAATGAATGGATGAATGAATGAACGAATGAATGAATGAATAGCTAAATAGATGACAAAAAATAAGCTAACGAAAATCGTTAAAAGTGCTATGTAAAAAAATGAAACCAGTAACAATAGAGAAAACATCATCCAATAATTTGATTTATAAATAGTTACGAAGCTTCACATACATATGCCTATAACACACACACACACAAACACACACACACACACATACAGAAAATGAAATACATTGGCTTGACACTTAAAATTCACACACATACAGAGACAGAGAGAAAGAGAGAGAGAGATACACCTACTTGTTAATTCTACTGAAACATCATGTAGTAAATTATGCGCGCCACGTACATCGCACAAAAATTCACAGAAAAAGTCTAATACATTATTGATAAGCATTCATTAAAGTTTGCGTGCGTGCGTGCGTGTGTGCGTGTGTGGGTACACAAATAGAAGTGAATAACCGTTTGATTTCTAGACTTGTAATTAATAAACGCTTACGACGAATTATTTATTTATAAAAATAACATAGAAGATGATTATGGATGGATTGTATATATTTGGATATATGGGATTATCACGTTTATTATCATCCTTTTGTCATTCATACTATTTCACCATAAACAACGTTATTTCACTGACGGACTTAAACACTGAATAAACTACTTACGGAACATTCTATTGCTGGCATATTCAAAATTCAGTTAGCAGATTATCATGGTTTCTTTTCTACGATCAATATAATGTGAAGTGAGTTTTTATTGAATCTGCCTAGACGATCAATAAACGAATATGTTCTTGGTAAATTTTAAAAAAAACATTTCAACAACTTTGCTAATTATAAGTATGATACATTCGTTGTTTAACTTTGAAAAAATTCTTCAAAATTGATCTTCATAATTTCCGCTGAAATTTGCTCTTATCCTTGTTTATTAGTTACGTCTTAGTTGTTGTGATAAATGTTATTACACACCCCTACACACACACACACACACACACACACACACACACACACACACACACACACACACACACACACACACATAGAAAAGCACGCAAATACATACAAAATAAATGAACCTAATTTATCTTCAACCACGCGTAAGACAGTTAATTTTGCGTTAAAACAAAACCGCTTAATAATTCAAACAACCAAGCCTAAGCCCAAGCATACGCACACGCATAAGCACAAATGAACATACACACAAACAAACTTATAAACAAACATAAACACAAACAAAACGTAAAAACAAACATATATCCAAACACAATCACATAAACATTAAACACGTACATACACACAGAAGCATAAAAGAAAACACACACACACAAACAAACACACGCACGCACACAAACAAACGTTCTATAATAACGGAATAAATCGGAAAGAATGAAATTCCATTCGCAAGGATATAATTTAAAAGAAATGTTTCAACATGTTAAGTGGATAAGTGTTCCATGTATATCACAACCACTACCACTACTACTACTATTACCCTTACTACCATTACTATTACTACCACTACTACTACCACTACTACTACTCCTACTACTACTACTACCACTACTGCTACTACTACTACTACTACCAATACTACTACAACAACTACTACTACTACTACTACCAATACTACTACCAATACTACTACTACTACTGTTGCTGTTACTACTACTGCCTAATATCTTTGGAATAAAAAAAAAGTTAACAAGCGGCCATAATTGAGCCGATCATCATCCTCTTAGTCGTCGTCATCATCGCAAACGTCATCATCACCATCAGACTCATTTTAATCATTACTTTTATCATCACCATTACAAGCACAATCGTTAATCAAGATCGTGGTCTTCATTGGCCACCATCATAGCCAAACATTTTCTAACTTCCATCAACACTTTCTAAACGTTGATGTAATTATTAATCATTGAGGGAGCGTAATTTTTATCACGCATGATACCAATACAGTCTTCATTACATTCCACTCCTCCTATTTCATTTCAATTTCTCATCTCTTTGGCGTCACCGTCATCATCCATCTAATAATTACACTTAGAATCGAAATTTTCATTAGCCATAATAATTTTCTAGCCAATAAAAGTGAATTTTTGTGTTTTTAAGGAATTTTTACGGACAATTTAAACGCAATTAAAGTTTGGAAAAACTATGTAAAACGTACCTTCAATAAAGACAACATACGTACACGAGCTCGTACATGCACGTACACGTACATACATACATACACAAACATACAAACATACATGCATACATACACACATACATACATACATACATACATACATACATACATACATACATACATACATACATACATACATACATACATACATACATACATACATACATACATACATACATACATACATACATACATACATACACACAAACATACATACATACATGCATACATACATACGCAGTTTTGTGTAGCAAGCAACTCCTCATACAACAGCGTTCACCAGCGTTCAGAAGCAAAGGTACCATTATTGATTATTCCAGGAATGATGTTGTTGTCGTCATGACGACGAGCTGCTTGCATCTGCTTGGTGTCTGCTGCGTAGTTGCTATCGTCATCATCTTCGTCGTCGTCGTCGTCCTCATTGTAATTATTATCATCACCATCCTCTTGGCCCTCTACCTCATCATCGTCGTCATCACCATCATCTCGTTTTGGTGAATGTGTGCGTTCGTCACTATAAATGTTCATTCACATTTACATTAACACCTAGCATATTTTACAAGAAAGATTTTCTCTCCTCTTCTCTCGATCACTCAAACAGACTCACACGTACACACACACACACGCATATACACACATACACACACGTACACACATACACACACGTACACACATACACACACGTACACACATACACACACGTACACACATACACACACACACACGTCGTTGTCACTATAAATTCCTTGTTCGCATTCATCATTCCGATCATCATCTTCATAATCATCATCACCGTCATTACGAGAAAATCATCACCACCGATGTAATCATCATCGCCATTATCGCCAGTGTAGTAACATCATCATTCACACCATCAGCTTCGTGGTCTACGTGACGAGATGACCACAACCAATCGACCAATACGTAGCTACACACACTTCATCCGGAGAACGACACAACGTCGCCACAACCACTACCGCGACACGACGACGATGAGAAAGCAATCACAGCAGCCGTAATTGCATTAAATTTTCATTCTCAAAAATTATTCAATTAGGGAAAATTTTCCGATGCAGTCATATTCTATATTCTATATTCGTCGTCCTCGTCATCATCTTCATCACCATCGAAGTCGTCATCACCATTATCGTCTTCGTCATCATCCTCATCACCATCATCCTCATTATCATCTCTTCTTTTTTCCCCCATCATCATTGTTATCACCATTCGTCACCACATACGTGCAAGGCACATACTAGCCCACAGCAGACATTCATCACCTCGGATGGTCACCACAGAAAGAGAATTCCACCAAAGGACATCCAACAAGACGAAACGAAACGAAAATTCGCGTGTCGCCATGATTAATACAAACGAACCGCAGTGTAATAATATGTAGTAGTGCTTTGTGTATATACGTAGACATGGTCAACTAACTCACAAATCAACACACACACACACATGCACACAAACAAACACACACACACTAACTAACATAAACATACAAACATTCGCCCACCTCAAAAAATTAGCCTGCTCATCACAAAAACAACACAAAAGCATACGTACACACAGACAAACAGACAAAAAAATAAATACAAAAAGCATACATACAAACATACGCAAACTTATACAAACATGTACAAACATATGCAATCACATAAAACAGTTGACTTTTTTGTCTTGGGCTTTGTTGAATTCGTCTTTGACATAAAAGCATACATACAAACATATACAAACGGTCACACACATTCATACGTATAAACAACTATGATTCATCAATTTGAATATATATATATTAAAACTTGTCTCGTGTACTAGCGTATTTGTGTGCACATGTGTGTTCGTGTGAATGTGCGTAAGTATGTGTGCGTGTGCAAATGCATCAGCACTGCAGACAACAAACAACAATAAAAAAAAACAACAATAAAAAAATTAATTTACTGCTTTTATTTTTGCAGAATACATCGCATAAATACAAAACACATACTAATACACGTTATATGTACAGATTACACACACACGCACACACCACACACACACAAACACACACACCACACACACAAGGCCAAGGCTGTTTATAGATCCGTAATGAATAACGATCGTTTCGTTTTCACTGGTACATTCAGCTGCGTACAAACAAAATTCAGACATCCAACAACAAATGACAACAAATAACAACAACATCAACAACATCATCAACAACAACATCAACAACAACAAATAACAACAACAACAGCAGCAGCAGCAGTCCTTACCGTTCAAAAACTGTTCGTGTTTATCTTTATTTAGGGATGAAA